ATGGGGAATGAATCTGGGAGGAGCTAAGGGAGGCGTGAGGGATGATGTGATCAAAGTGCATTGTGTATATACATGTGTGAGATTCTCAATTAAACTACTAACTACTGCTAACTACCCACAGATTTCTCATGCATACATGGTGCTTACTGGTGTTTGAGACCAGAAAATGCTTTGTATTGAGGAACTGCGTTAGGACTGATTTTGTCCACAGAGTATTTGGAGTCCAGTATTTGGAGCCAATTCTCATCGTTAGGGAAGTAAGGCTGTATGGATAGAGGCAGGGATATTAGGGGTACTGCTAAAAAAACCTACAACAAAGTGTTTTATATATATGTGTCTGTATACATATGTATCACCTTTTATTTTTAATATTTTATATTTCAGAAGAGTCAGGGCTGCACAGAGAAATCCTGTCTCAAAAAACAAAACAATTATTTATAGCCTCCTGAGTTTTTCTATATAGAGCATAAATAGTAAGGGCTTTACTATTTACTGTTTTCCATTTCTTTTACCTTTTATTTCTTTCCTTTGTCTTATTAATTAAGATCTCTGGCACAAAGCTGAAGAGGCAAGAGTGAGTTTCTTTGGTTCATAAACCAAAGAGAAAGGTGCTCTTCCAAAGGACCCAAGTTCAAATCCCAGCACCCACATGATAGTTCACAACTGTCTGTAAGGGGACCCAATGCTCTCTCTGATCTCCATGGGGACTGCATACATGTGGTATACAGAAATACGTAGAGGCAAAACATAGAAATGTATCAGTCTCAGAAATAAATAAATATAAAAGAATCCCCTCCTGAAAGTTGCTCTGGCATTGCTCCATGGCTGTCCAGTGACTTCACAGTCATGAACAGTCCAGGGAGATGTCTGCTTCTTTCTGGTTGTTGCAATAAATGCACTTTGCAAATCTTCCCCGCTTGCACAGAAGCACAAGTCTCTCCTCCCTCCTCTGTTCCAGGCAGGGCTTTGCATTAGAGCGTGGTCTGGCCTCAGACTTCCAGCTCTGCTTCTCATGTACTAGATTGCAGGTGGCCACCAGTTGCTTCTCTGTCCCGTGTCCCTGGGAAGAGCAGTGCTGCTTCATCCCACCCCTGTGGTGTGTGCTGTGCACTACTCTCTCAGTTTCTTTCATCGTTAAGACCGTTTTTATTTGAACACTAACAGTTACAGACTTTCTCTGTGAGGAGGAGGCTGTCTGACTTTCCCCTCTCCATGCTCTCTCTCAGCTCCTCAGCCTTTGCTGTCACAGTCCCGCTAGCCTTCTTGTATCCTGGCCTTTTCCATCTAAAAGGTTGAAGGATCACTTCCCAATGTTAAACTCTTCAGTGGCTTCCTGTAACCCTCAAAGTGAAGTTTGGTCCTTACAGCCTGTGAGACACCGTATGAAATCTTATGTCTGTTATATATAGTGGATAACTCCTATTTCTTATCATCTGTTGTAGTTGAATAAACAGTGAAGTCAATTCAGAATCATCCTAAATAAGTTCAGCAGTCTCTGTGTGTGAAACAACCCTTTCTGCATAGTGAGAGTCAGGTACTATATTAAGAGACTCTTGAACATTTGACAACACCATGAGTATTGCATATAATTCAAATGTTTAAACTGACCTATAAGAACTCTCAGCCACATACATCTTCTGATTTATATCCTGCCTTTCCTGATTTATTGGCATTGGTGTAAAATGAAGGGGCTCCACATATTGGAGTTCCCTTTATTAGACGAGAGAATCCAATTAGTTCTTTTTATGAATTGGAGTCACTTGCTTTTAGGGTATCTGGTGTTAATCTCTCCCAAGAAGTTACTGCATACCCTTTGCCAATGTTCATCTTGTTCCCATAACGAGGCCATCTCTGTGTTAGTAAAAGGGACCACAATCTCAGCTGGATCCATTCCAGCTAATTGTCGAAGTCTCGTTTTTCCTTTTAGTATCAATTCAGAGACCTTCTCAATGTAGGTCTTTAGTTTCTTACTCTGTTTATGTGCTAAAAATATCCATTCTAAGATATAATCTTCCGTCTGGATGAGAATTCCTGTAGGAGAATGAGTAGAAGGTAAGATAACTAAGATACAAGCCGTCTTTGGATCAATACAATCTAGATGTGTATCCTGCAACTTCCTTTCCACCAAAGCGAACTCCTTCTCAGCCTCGGCTGATAGCTTCCTGGGGCTATTTAAATCTTTATCACCTTGTAAGGTTTGAAATAAATTGCTTAGCTCTTGAGTTGTCAAGCCAATCGCTGGCTGCAGACAGTTATAGCTATCAGTAGCTTCTGAAAATCATTAAGGGCCTTAACTGGCTTCCTCTAGTTTGCACTTTTTGTGGCCTAGCCTTTTGCAGACCTATTCTATACCCTAGATGATTAATAGAATCCCCTTTTTGTATTTCTTCAGGGGTAATTTGCAAACCCCAGCAAGTCAGAGGTGTCTTTTTTTTCTTCATCAAACATTCTTTCCAGAATATTTATATTGTTGGACTGTAAGATCCAACCCAGGGGATGCGCTCCCACAGAAACGCACACGGACAGGACTCGCTGCAATCACATGAGGTTCAGTTTAATGAAACTAGTGCACTAGGACTCTCTCGCATGCAGGCAAGAGAGCCCCGAACAAGAGCTGAGTATAGTATTTATGGGTACAGTACAGTTCACGAGGGCAAACCACAAAGTCTGACTTTTCTGGGTTCAGTCCCTAGGTGACTCAGATGATGACAAGGAGTGTCCTCTGTTTGTCCAGGTTTATTATGTTAAGGGCTCCTGATTCCTGGAATGTATCTAGTGCCCTGGGCTCTCCTTCCCTGCAGGTGGGTTCCCACTCCCATGGTCTGAGGAATGTTAATCAGCCTCCCCCTACCTCCTCTGAGTATTAATCCAGCAAGCGTCCTCTGACTAAGGAATATGCCCCTCCTGGGATGTGTCCTGAGACAGTGGGATTCTTTTAATCTCAAATTCAAACTGAGACCCGAAAATCTTACAATATCTGGATCAGCCAATAGGGTGTCATTTATATAATGATAAATAATGGATTGGTGAAATTCTTTTTGAATTATCTCCAATGGCTGTTGTACAGAATAGTGACACAAGGTAGGGCTATTTAATATTCCTTGTGACAGGACTTTCTAATGGTATTTTTTTACTGGGTGACCTCTACTGACGGTAGGTACTAAGAAAGCAAACCTTTTCTTACCATGTTCATGTAGAGGAATTGTGAAAAAGATCAATCACTATGATAGGCCATTCCTTAGGCAACAAGGAAGACATTGGGAGCTGATCTGTGGAAATCTCTCCTCCCCTGGCTCTATTTTGTCCTGCTCTCCCCCCACCCACTTCTCTCCACCATGAGAACCATTGTAAATGTGACGCAGTTCTAGTATTGCTTTTGCCATATCCTTCCAGTCTTGGAGGATTATTCTATTTTTAATAGACCAAGAAGTCAGGATTTTTTTTTTACAAAGGGAGAATGCATTC